GGTTTTTCTTCAGATATTGGACTACGGTTTGCCGTAACTCTGCTTGTGAGATTTTAATTCCTTTTTTGAGGTGGAGCTGTTCCGAAAGGGCCAAAAACATGCAGTTTCCCCCTCCTTGATTGTCAGAAATCGAAAAACCTTTTTCCTTGATGTTTCTCTTAAAATTTTCGTAGAGCCCAGTCTCATGATTGTTGGTATCTTCCTTAGCTTGTCGTTCTATTTGTCGAAGAAGATTGAAAATGTGCCTCTCTGGTAGTTCTGTTAATAGAAAGAACAATATAAAAACTTTTGATTCTCTTTGAAGAGATAAGGAGCTAACGTAAGATGAGTAAGCCTGGCTTCTTCACCTCTTCATCTAAAGAAAAATATTTCTGCCAATCGAGAACAACGGTGCTGTTTCTTTCAGTTTAATTTTATAAGTAAGGTCTATAATGCGCTTGAATTTTACCAGTAAAAAAAATATATATATATATATATACAAATATATTTACAAAATGGACACACAATCATATAAGGATCTACAGCAGAACAATAGTACTAAGACCTACAAGAAAGTATACCCGGACACAGCAGTAGTATACTATGTTGAAACTTAACCTCCTTGGTGCGTTCCCTTTGCATTCCGTGTGCGTTCCCTTAATTAATAAGCATAAGGGTCGAGTCTATGACGTCACCCATTGTTTTATCCTAGAGAAAAAATTTGTTCCTCCATACTAATTAAGTGCCTAGTCAGTGTCTTCCTGCATACTAATTCGGTATAGGTTTACTAATGAGCGTCACTCTAGTATAATAGGAACAATAGGCTTGCCTAGACTTGCCCGGTAAGTAACTTGAGCCCGGTTTTCGGACCGTCTATTAAAAGGAAAATAGGAATAAGAGAAGCGATCACCTAGTAACGCAAGAAACGGCTTCCCATATCTTATTTAGCGCTAAAACTCAGATATATAAACAAAACACATACAGAAAGTGGAGTTGAAAAGTCTTTATTTCAATAAGTGTACGTCTTCTTATTTAGCGCTAAAACCAGGATATATAAACAAAACATTCGCACATATACACAAAGTGGGGCTAAAAACTCTCTATTTCAATTTTGTCTGACTATTACAGAACTGTTTTCTCCGTTTTATCTCGACGAAATGAAAAACTATTGAAGTCTCAACGTTTCACGCGCCGTTAATTAGGTAATTATGCAAGTTCACAAACTCAAAGTTAAATACAAATTAGCTCCACAGGAAAAACCTCAAGGGAGCATATTGACGTATTATTATAAAACAAATAACTTAACAACGATCAATTGATTAAACACGCGACTAATAATTGCTAGCAATAAAATCAGACACGAGATACCGTTTAAAACAAAAAGAGTCAAATACACAGCGATTTGAAAGAAATCTATTAAAATAGTTAAAGAAAGCAAACCATCCTTTTTTTTTTTTTTTTTACACTGCGCACAATGTTTTAGCTACCGTTCTTTTTGGGTTTAGGCGGGAAAATTTGAAGATCTTGTGAAGGTAGGTAAAATGTGGTTTCTGTCAAAGTTCGCACTTCGCTGCACATTGAATTACATCGTTTCAGTTTGCACTCTGTTCTCGCCAAATACTCAACAGAGATAATTACCTTTTGGAAAAGGTCGGGCAAAAAGGAACAAGGTTTTCTTCCAAGTAAAAATTACGAGTTAACTGTTTCACATTTTCGAGCAAGAGCACAGGAAACTTCAGCAACAGTTCCATAAAAGAAGAGTGAAGAAAATTATTTTTCCCAGCTGCTCCTGGCTGAAACTTACCTGGTCGGGTTTAACTTAAATATGATATTTCCAAAGCCGCAAAATAATTTACATAGCTTGTTTGTTTTTAAAATAAGCGCGCTAAATCTGCAACGAATACTCGAAGATCGACTCACTAACACCGACTTATAAATGTTTTTTTTTTTATTTCGGGAAAAGGGATTGTTTACTGGGTAACATCAAACATCTTTACCTCCTTTATGTGGAATAAGACTGACATAGTGAAGCTCATGCACGTGACCCAGTACAAGGCGGGTGCTAGCGTCATACTCTGGGCAGATCATTACTTCATCGTGATGACTGCTTATCACGTGAATGCATGTTTTAAAGAGGTTTGCTGTACCATGGAGGATCACGTGATCACCCAATTTACCATCTGCCATCATGCGTGTGAGGTACGCATCCCAAGATGAATATCCGTCGACGAAATGAAAGAGCTCTGTACCATCCGGCTGTGAGAAAAAAAATACTGTAGTTCAGTAAAGCTCCTACAAAGAGCACAGCCGTGCTTCTAAATGCCTCACCACTTTTAAAGAAAGGGAGGGATTGGTAGGATTTTACATGAGAAGGTAAGATTGCTCGGTTACAGATTTCTCGGTTTATTCAACGGGGATCTCGGTAACGGGACTTGAAGTTTTTCATATCACCATGCGTACCGAGTTACAGTCAACATCGTCTTTGGAAAAAAAGGCCAGCTCTGTATTATTACTGGCTATTTTTGGTTTGCATTGAAAAAAATGCTCTTTTAGATATTCGACGGGGGTTGGGGGGGTTAGGCGATTTCAAATGCTTATTCAGGGAGCTGTGCTCTTTCGGCTGAAATGCGATTACTACATAAAGTGCCTTAGATTCAATCAATAGGAATGGAAAGATTGCCTAAAAGGAAAAGAAAAATATGCTTCAGTAACCCGGGGCACGCTCTGATGATGAGGTTTCGTGGTGCATGCTTAACATTAAGTCTTGTGCAACCGAATGTTCGCGCTCTGGCTATACTACCGCTTTCGTTGCTTGCAAAATAGTCTACAAAAGAATTATTTCAATTGCAGTCAACGAAACTTAGTAATGTATGCGCGAATGTACTCACTTTCCGTTCTAACCTGAAATTAGATAAACTAAAATCCATAAGATATATTTTGATATTTTAACCAAGGATGAACAGACTTGAATAACTTGTGTCAAGAAACCTGAAACACTAACCAGCGTAGGGTTTTTCTTCAGATATTGGACTACGGTTTGCCGTAACTCTGCTTGTGAGATTTTAATTCCTTTTTTGAGGTGGAGCTGTTCCGAAAGGGCCAAAAACATGCAGTTTCCCCCTCCTTGATTGTCAGAAATCGAAAAACCTTTTTCCTTGATGTTTCTCTTAAAATTTTCGTAGAGCCCAGTCTCATGATTGTTGGTATCTTCCTTAGCTTGTCGTTCTATTTGTCGAAGAAGATTGAAAATGTACGTCTCTGGTAGTTCTGTTAATAGAAAGAACAATATAAAAACTTTTGATTCTCTTTGAAGAGATAAGGAGCTAACGTAAGATGAGTAAGCCTGGCTTCTTCACCTCTTCATCTAAAGAAAAATATTTCTGCCAATCGAGAACAACGGTGCTGTTTCTTTCAGTTTAATTTTCTAAGTAAGGTCTATAATGCGCTTGAATTTTACCAGTAAAAAAAAAATATATATATATATATATACAAATATATTTACAAAATGGACACACAATCATATAAGGATCTACAGCAGAACAATAGTACTAAGACCTACAAGAAAGTATACCCGGACACAGCAGTAGTATACTATGTTGAAACTTAACCTCCTTGGTGCGTTCCTTTGCATTCCGTGTGCGTTCCCTTAATTAATAAGCATAAGGGTCGAGTCTATGACGTCACCCATTGTTTTATCCTAGAGAAAAAATTTGTTCCTCCATACTAATTAAGTGCCTAGTCAGTGTCTTCCTGCATACTAATTCGGTATAGGTTTACTAATGAGCGTCACTCTAGTACAATAGGAACAATAGGCTTGCCTAGACTTGCCCGGTAAGTAACTTGAGCCCGGTTTTCGGACCGTCTATTAAAAGGAAAATAGGAATAAGAGAAGCGATCACCTAGTAACGCAAGAAACGGCTTCCCATATCTTATTTAGCGCTAAAACTCAGATATATAAACAAAACACATACAGAAAGTGGAGTTGAAAAGTCTTTATTTCAATAAGTGTACGTCTTCTTATTTAGCGCTAAAACCAGGATATATAAACAAAACATTCGCACATATACACAAAGTGGGGCTAAAAACTCTCTATTTCAATTTTGTCTGACTATTACAGAACTGTTTTCTCCGTTTTATCTCGACGAAATGAAAAACTATTGAAGTCTCAACGTTTCACGCGCCGTTAATTAGGTAATTATGCAAGTTCACAAACTCAAAGTTAAATACAAATTAGCTCCACAGGAAAAACCTCAAGGGAGCATATTGACGTATTATTATAAAACAAATAACTTAACAACGATCAATTGATTAAACACGCGACTAATAATTGCTAGCAATAAAATCAGACACGAGATACCGTTTAAAACAAAAAGAGTCAAATACACAGCGATTTGAAAGAAATCTATTAAAATAGTTAAAGAAAGCAAACCATCCTTTTTTTTTTTTTTTTTTTTACACTGCGCACAATGTTTTAGCTACCGTTCTTTTTGGGTTTAGGCGGGAAAATTTGAAGATCTTGTGAAGGTAGGTAAAATGTGGTTTCTGTCAAAGTTCGCACTTCGCTGCACATTGAATTACATCGTTTCAGTTTGCACTCTGTTCTCGCCAAATACTCAACAGAGATAATTACCTTTTGGAAAAGGTCGGGCAAAAAGGAACAAGGTTTTCTTCCAAGTAAAAATTACGAGTTAACTGTTTCACATTTTCGAGCAAGAGCACAGGAAACTTCAGCAACAGTTCCATAAAAGAAGAGTGAAGAAAATTATTTTTCCCAGCTGCTCCTGGCTGAAACTTACCTGGTCGGGTTTAACTTAAATATGATATTTCCAAAGCCGCAAAATAATTTACATAGCTTGTTTGTTTTTAAAATAAGCGCGCTAAATCTGCAACGAATACTCGAAGATCGACTCACTAACACCGACTTATAAATGTTTTTTTTTTTATTTCGGGAAAAGGGATTGTTTACTGGGTAACATCAAACATCTTTACCTCCTTTATGTGGAATAAGACTGACATAGTGAGGCTCATGCACGTGACCCAGTACAAGGCGGGTGCTAGCGTCATACTCTGGGCAGATCATTACTTCATCGTGATGACTGCTTATCACGTGAATGCATGTTTTAAAGAGGTTTGCTGTACCATGGAGGATCACGTGATCACCCAATGTACCATCTGCCATCATGCGTGTGAGGTACGCATCCCAAGATGAATATCCGTCGACGAAATGAAAGAGCTCTGTACCATCCGGCTGTGAGAAAAAAAATACTGTAGTTCAGTAAAGCTCCTACAAAGAGCACAGCCGTGCTTCTAAATGCCTCACCACTTTTAAAGAAAGGGAGGGATTGGTAGGGTTTTACATGAGAAGGTAAGATTGCTCGGTTACAGATTTCTCGGTTTATTCAACGGGGATCTCGGTAACTGGACTTGAAGTTTTTCATATCACCATGCGTACCGAGTTACAGTCAACATCGTCTTTGGAAAAAAAGGCCAGCTCTGTATTATTACTGGCTATTTTTGGTTTGCATTGAAAAAAATGCTCTTTTAGATATTCGACGGGGGTTGGGGGGGTAAGGATTTCAAATGCTTATTCAGGGAGCTGTGCTCTTTCGGCTGAAATGCGATTACTACATAAAGTGCCTTAGATTCAATCAATAGGAATGGAAAGATTGCCTAAAAGGAAAAGAAAAATATGCTTCAGTAACCCGGGGCACGCTCTGATGATGAGGTTTCGTGGTGCATGCTTAACATTAAATCTTGTGCAACCGAATGTTCGCGCTCTGGCTATACTACCGCCTTCGTTGCTTGCAAAATAGTCTACAAAAGAATTATTTCAATTGCAGTCAACGAAACTTAGTAATGTATGCGCGAATGTACTCACTATCCGTTCTAACCTGAAATTAGATAAACTAAAATCCTTAAGATATATTTTGATATTTTAACCAAGGATGAACAGACTTGAATAACTTGTGTCAAGAAACCTGAAACACTAACCAGCGTAGGGTTTTTCTTCAGATATTGGACTACGGTTTGCCGTAACTCTGCTTGTGAGATTTTAATTCCTTTTTTGAGGTGGAGCTGTTCCGAAAGGGCCAAAAACATGCAGTTTCCCCCTCCTTGATTGTCAGAAATCGAAAAACCTTTTTCCTTGATGTTTCTCTTGAAATTTTCGTAGAGCCCAGTCTCATGATTGTTGGTATCTTCCTTAGCTTGTTGTTCTCTTTGTCGACGAAGATTGAAAATGTACGTCTCTGGTAGTTCTGTTAATAGAAAGAACAATATAAAAACTTTTGATTCTCTTTGAAGAGATAAGGAGCTAGTAAGATGAGTAAGCCTGGCTTCTTCGCCTCTTCATCTAAAGAAAAATATTTCTGCTAATCGAGAACAACGGTGCTGTTTCTTTCAGTTTAATTTTCTAAGTAAGGTCTATAATGCGCTTGAATTTTACCAGTAAAAAAAAATATATATATATATATATATATACAAATATATTTACAAAATGGACACACAATCATATAAGGATCTACAGCAGAACAATAGTACTAAGACCTACAAGAAAGTATACCCGGACACAGCAGTAGTATACTATGTTGAAACTTAACCTCCTTGGTGCGTTCCCTTTGCATTCCGTGTGCGTTCCCTTAATTAATAAGCATAAGGGTCGAGTCTATGACGTCACCCATTGTTTTATCCTAGAGAAAAAATTTGTTCCTCCATACTAATTAAGTGCCTAGTCAGTGTCTTCCTGCATACTAATTCGGTATAGGTTTACTAATGAGCGTCACTCTAGTACAATAGGAACAATAGGCTTGCCTAGACTTGCCCGGTAAGTAACTTGAGCCCGGTTTTCGGACCGTCTATTAAAAGGAAAATAGGAATAAGAGAAGCGATCACCTAGTAACGCAAGAAACGGCTTCCCATATCTTATTTAGCGCTAAAACTCAGATATATAAACAAAACACATACAGAAAGTGGAGTTGAAAAGTCTTTATTTCAATAAGTTTACGTCTTCTTATTTAGCGCTAAAACCAGGATATATAAACAAAACACTCGCACATATACACAAAGTGGGGCTAAAACCTCTCTATTTCAATTTTGTCTGACTATTACAGAACTGTTTTCTCCGTTTTATGTAAAGTTAAATACAAATTAGCTCCACAGGAAAAACCTCAAGGGAGCATATTGACGTATTATTATAAAACAAATAACTTAATAAGGATCAATTGATTAAACACGCGACTAATAATTGCTAGCAATAAAATCAGACACGAGATACCGTTTAAAACAAAAAGAGTCAAATACTCAGCGATTTGAAAGAAATCTATTAAAATAGTTAAAGAAAGCAAACCATCCTTTTTTTTTTTTGTTTTTTTTACACTGCGCACAATGTTTTACCTACCGTTCTTTTTGGGTTTAGGCGGGAAAATTTGAAGATCTTGTGAAGGTAGGTAAAATGTGTTTCTGTCAAAGTTCGCATTTCGCTGCACATTGAATTACATCGTTTCAGTTTGCACTCTGTTCTCGCCAAATACTCAACAGAGATAATTACCTTTTGGAAAAGGTCGGGCAAAAAGGAACAAGGTTTTCTTCCAAGTAAAAATTACGAGTTAACTGATTCACATTTTCGAGCAAGAGCACAGGAAACTTCAGCAACAGTTCCATAAAAGAAGAGTGAAGAAAATTATTTTTCCCAGCTGCTCCTGGCTGAAACTTACCTGGTCGGGTTTAACTTAAATATGCAATTTCCAAAGCGGCAAAATATTTTACATAGCTTGTTTGTTTTTAAAATAAGCGCGCTAAATCTGCAACGAATACTCGAAGATCGACTCACTAACACCGACTTATAAATGTTTTTTTTTTATTTCGGGAAAAGGGATTGTTTACTGGGTAACATCAAACATCTTTACCTCCTTTATGTGGAATAAGACTGACATAGTGAGGCTCATGCACGTGACCCAGTACAAGGCGGGTGCTAGCATCATACTCTGGGCAGATCATTACTTCATCGTGATGACTGCTTATCACGTGAATGCATGTTTTAAAGAGGTTTGCTGTACCATGGAGGATCACGTGATCACCCAATGTACCATCTGCCATCATGCGTGTGAGGTACGCATCCCAAGATGAATATCCGTCGACGAAATGAAAGAGCTCTGTACCATCCGGCTGTGAGAAAAAAAATACTGTAGTTCAGTAAAGCTCCTACAAAGAGCACAGCCGTGCTTCTAAATGCCTCACAACTTTTAAAGAAAGGGAGGGATTGGTAGGGGTTTACATGAGAAGGTAGGATTGCTCGGTTACAGATTTCTCGGTTTATTCAACGAGGATCTCGGTAACGGGACTTGAAGTTTTTCATATCAGCATGCGTACCGAGTTACAGTCAACATTCTCTTTGGAAAAAAAGGCCAGCTCTGTATTATTACTGGCTATTTTTGGTTTGCATTGAAAAAAATGCTCTTTTAGATATTCGACGGGGGTTGGGGGGGGGGGGGGTAGGGATTTTAAATGCTTTTTCAGGGAGCTGTGCTCTTTCGGCTGAAATGCGATTACTACATAAAGTGCCTTAGACTCAATCAATTGGAATGGAAAGATTGCCTAAAAGGAAAAGAAAAATATGCTTCAGTAACCCGGGGCACGCTCTGATGATGAGGTTTCGTGGTGCATGCTTAACATTAAATCTTGTGCAACCGAATGTTCGCGCTCTGGCTATACTACCGCCTTCGTTGCTTGCAAAATAGTCTACAAAAGAATTATTTCAATTGCAGTCAACGAAACTTAGTAATGTATGCGCGAATGTACTCACTTTCCGTTCTAACCTGAAATTAGATAAACTAAAATCCATAAGATATATTTTGATATTTTAACCAAGGATGAACAGACTTGAATAACTTGTGTCAAGAAACCTGAAACACTAACCAGCGTAGGGTTTTTCTTCAGATATTGGACTACGGTTTGCCGTAACTCTGCTTGTGAGATTTTAATTCCTTTTTTGAGGTGGAGCTGTTCCGAAAGGGCCAAAAACATGCAGTTTCCCCCTCCTTGATTGTCAGAAATCGAAAAACCTTTTTCCTTGATGTTTCTCTTAAAATTTTCGTAGAGCCCAGTCTCATGATTGTTGGTATCTTCCTTAGCTGGTCGTTCTATTTGTCGACGAAGATTGAAAATGTACGTCTCTGGTAGTTCTGTTAATAGAAAGAACAATATAAAAACTTTTGATTCTCTTTGAAGAGATAAGGAGCTAGTAAGATGAGTAAGCCTGGCTTCTTCGCCTCTTCATCTAAAGAAAAATATTTCTGCTAATCGAGAACAACGGTGCTGTTTCTTTCAGTTTAATTTTCTAAGTAAGGTCTATAATGCGCTTGAATTTTACCAGTCAAAAAAAAAAAATATAGAGAGAGAGAGAGAATACTTCATGGAAAGTGCTGGCGTACGGTATTTACGCACGAGTTGTTGACGTATCAGAAATCGAACGAGTGAGCGCAGCGAACGAGTAAGATTTCTGATACAAAAACAACGAGTGCGTAAATACCGTACGCCAGCACTTTCCATGTGGTATTGTGTTTATTATATACATACTGAGTCATTCATCATTTTGCGGGCCTTTTTATTTTAAATCTTTCAAAAATGCTAAAATTTGCCGCTACACACTTACCGCAAAATGACAACGAAAACGAAGTATGAGCTTTTTAGTAAAAACGTTTGTTAAAAACATAAATGACGGTGAGGATAGGAGGTTTAATCCAAGAACTATAAGTAATCTTAACTGTTTGTTCTCAATGCACAATTGAAAATGAGTGAATTTAAGTAAAATGGCCGGTTTCAATATAAGCTTAAGCTTAAATGAAAGGCAAAGTAGCTCCGACAAAAAGCACAACAAAAGCTTACGTCTCGTTCTGTTTATCCCTTTCCGCTGTTGTTTCGCCGGCTCTCTACCGTATTTTTTTATCGACAGTGAAACAAACGAAACTATTCCACTCCATTTCCGAAATGTTTTTCACTTTTTTAGCGAGAAAAACTCCTTGAGTAAAACTTTTCTCGTTGATAAATGTGTGCGAAGCGGCGCTGCAAGCTGCAATAAAAGGCGGGAATTTTGGCGCGAAACTCGCACACCTCTGTGGCTTCTGATTGGACGTATCATTTTTCTCACACGTGAAAAAACATCGTTCGCGATTCTGATTGGACGTATCGTTTTTTTCACGTGTGAAAACCATCGTTCGCTCCTCTGATTGGCTATTACTAATTTGCGTACGAAAATTTACGACATAGCTTTTTGGTGAGTATTTCTCAGTATGTATATAATAAATATATATATGTTGCATAAAAAACGGTCCTTGTAAAAAAGCGTCATTTTTATGTAAGAAAGCTGCTTTTTTACAAATTAACCGGTTGTAAAAAAGCAGTTTTTTTTATGTAAAAAATCTGTATTTTTACGAAAGATATTTTTGTAAGAAAGCTGCCTTTTTATGTAAAAATCCTGCTATTTTACACACATAGACCATTTGACAAACCCATTTATCGAAGACAGGCTGTTTTCTATAGCATGGTTCGAACTTTATTGAACTGTAGTTTTCGTGCGCTTGTCAAACCGTACATTTTAAGATATCCGGCTAGTCACGTTCACGTTCCCGTGTCCCCTTTATTATGGGGCTTTTAAATTCCCTTGTTAACTCGCTGACAGCGTTAAAAATTTACGTTCTTTCTATTATTTCTTCTTGTTTCCTTTGTCATTCAATTTTCCATGACCTTCTAATTGCTGGATGCGAAGAAGGAACAGGCAGAAATTTCATTTGTTATGCTTATCGGCCGAGGTCACGCACGGCAGTAACTGCATGTTAGGCAATAATAGAATAGCTGGGTTATTCACTGTCTTATTTATAAGCTATGCCTGTCACAATCTCTTGCAGCAACCAAAGCCTTCTATTCTCTCCTTCATTACTACTTTTGTAGGCGAGCGTTTCCTTTTGCTTGATTAACCGACTGAGCATGTTCCTACATCATGTTGAAAGCTTGAAGGAAATAGTTATAAACACATTTGTAAAGATAGTAAATGATTTCATTGGTACAACGTAGCAACATGTTCATTCGACGGCTATCAATCAATTAATTTTTATAAATTAAAAAAGCTGCTTTTTTATGTAAAAAATCTGTTTTTTTACAAAAGATATTTTTGTAAGAAAGCGACTTTTTTATGTAAAAAAGCTGTTTTTTTTTTTTACAAAAATATGTTTTTGTTCAGTAGAAAGTTGATTTTTTTAATGTAAAAAAGATGTTTTTTTACAAAAATATATTTTGGTTAAAAAAACAGACCTCCCAGCTAAGTCTCCCCTTAGAAAACATTGTTAGAATATTATTATACCGCATTGTAGTTTTCGTGCGCTTCTCAGACTACACATCAGATATCCCGCGCTGGTCACGTTCACGCTCCGGTTGGCACATGTTATTATGGGGCTTTTAAATTCCCTTGTATATATATATTATATATATATATATATGTTGTGTAAAAAAACGGTACCGTAAGAAAGCTGTTTTTTTACACTGATATATATTTGTAAAAAAACAGCTTTTTTACAAAAATATATTTTGTAAAAAAACGGTCCTACACTAAATGTTGCTGGCGAATTCAGCTTGTGTTCATATTAAAGTTGTTTAGCCTTTACAAGTGTTTTCGGGCTTATTTCTCGATCTCTAAAATAAAACACGCATTGCCGTACGTTACAGACCGCCTTTATAGTCCCTAACTTTGTGTTATAAACAAATCGGCTGCTGTTTTTATGGCCTTATAAAGTTGCTCTGTGTATTGCAAAAATTAGACTAACAAGCGAGTGTATGTACGCTTGTAGCTATAGGCTAGTGTTTCCTTTTGCTTGATTAGCCGACTGAACATGTTCCTACATCATGTTGAAAGCTTAAAGTTGTAACGCAGACATGACAATCTTGCATGCATCAACATGGATTTCAACATAGCATGAATCCCGTGACAGAAGTTTAGCGCATCATACATAATACAGGAAATTGCCTAACAATTGCTGTCGTTGATTCTTGCTGGAGATTTTATGCTAGAAATGGAGTTAAAATTTATTTATCCACTGCTAAGAGCACCAAAGCATTATAGCCAAGTATTTTGTTGACAGTTAAACCGATCATTGCAGCTGATAACCTTGGGAAAATAGATAAATAATACAGAACAATATTCTGTACAGTTTTCGGCTTGAACAAAAGTAGCAATGAAGGAGAGAATAGAAGTCTTTGGTTGCTGCAAGAGATTCTGACAGGCATTGCTTATAAATAAGACAGTGAATAACCCAGCTATTGCCTAACATGCAGTTACTGCCGTGGGTGACCTCAGCCGATAAGCATAACAAATGAAATTACTGCCTGTTCCTTCTTCGCATCCAACAATTAGAAGGTCCTGGAAAATTGAATGACAAAGGAAACAAGAAGAAAGAATAAAAAGAATAAAAAGAACGTAAATTTGTAACGCTGTCAGCGAGTTAACAAGGGAATTTAAATGCCCCACAATAAAGGGGACACGGGAACGTGAACGTGACTAGCCGCACGAAAACTACAGTTCAATAAATTTCGAACCATGCTATGGAAAACAGCCTGTCTTCGATAAATGAGTTTGTCAAATGGTCTATACGTGTAAAATAGCAGGATTTTTACATAAAAAAGGCAGCTTTCTTACAAAAATACCTTTTGTAACAAAACAGATTTTTACATAAAAAAAGCAGTTTTTTTTTACAAAATATATTTTGTAAAAAGCAGCTTTTTACATAAAAAAGCTGCTTTTTTACAAAAATATATTTTTTAAAAAAAGCAGTATTTTTACGACCAAGTAACTTGTAAAAAGCAGCTTTTTACGTAAAAAGCTGCTTTTTACAAAAATATATTTTGTAAAAAGCAGCTTTTTACATAAAAAGCAGTATTTTTACAAGCGGCTAATTTGTAAAAAAAGCAGCTTTTTTACATAAAAAAAAGCTTTTTTTTAAAATATATTTTTGTAAAAAGCAGTATTTTTTACAACCAGGTAACTTGTAAAAAGCAGCTTTTTACATAAAAGCTGCTTTTTTTACAAGAATATACTTTTGTAAAAAAGCAGTATTTTTACAGTCGCGAAAATTTGTAAAAAAAAGGTTTTTTTTTTAAATAAAAATGACGCTTATTTACACGGACCGTTTTTTTATGCAACATATATATATATATATATATATATATATATATATATATATATGTTGTGTAAAAAAACGGTACCGTAAGAAGGCTGTTTTCTTACAGTGATATATATTTGTAAGAGGACAGCTTTTCTACAAAAATATATTTTATATCAAGCCATTTTTTCGGTAAGAAAGACGCTGAAAACTTTGCATTGCGTGACCAAGGGATCTGCGTGGCGGCGCACTTGTTTGCTGAGGAGATAAACACAGAGTCGGATTTGGTTGGAGAAAATTTGGCCACCAAAGGTGACGAACTTTATTTTCAAAATCTGCCAATATATAATAAACTAAATATCTCTTCAGCAAAGGTGGGGGAATAAACCGCCACCCACTAAGACAAGAAAGAGAAACACACTAGGATTTAATTCGCAGGCAGGCGGAAGGGGAGGTGGTGGAAAATGCTGAAAATTGGTTCAAACCAGCGATGTGAACAACGTGATGGTGAGCGATCGAAAGGGGGCGAGCACATGGAAAAGCGCCCCTAAGAATGATATAGTCCCGAACGCCCTTAATTCTGATTGGCTGGAAATAAGATAGGCTTGGAACCTGCCGCCTTGGCCTGCAAACCATTATCAAATGCCTTGCCACAAAATCCCATTATGATGTCGTCATGACGGTGTCTTTTTGTAAATGTTGCTGGCGAATTCAGCTAGTGTTCATATTAAAGTTGTTTGGCCTTTACAAGTGTTTTCTGGCTTATTTCTCGATCTGTAAAATAAAACACGTATTGCCGTACGTTACAGACACCTTTATAGTCCCTAATTCTTATAAACGAATCGGCTGCTGTTTTTATGGCCTTACAAGTTGCTCTGTGTGTTGCAAAAATTAGACTAACAAGCAAGTGTATGTGCGTTTGTGGGCGAGCGTTTTCTTTTGCTTGATTAGCCGTCGAATGAACATGTTCCT